CGGCTCTGCGTGGTGGTGTTCCTCGCTGACCCCCAAGTCTTCTGAAACACCTGCTCGTCTGGGTCTGTGCGACCCCGCCCGGCTCCCCATCTTCCCTCTTGGCTGGCTCTTCCTCCTCTTCCCGCCCTGGAAGTCCCAGGCCTCTGTTCTCAGAGCACCCCCAGCGGCCCTCCGCCAGCACCTGGGCTTCGAACAGCGTCTCCCCTCCCGGGACTCCTGCATTTCCGGTTCCGGTTTCCTGCTGGAGGCCTTCCAGCCGCCAGCCCGCAGCTCCTTTCTCCCGGCTCCTGCACCTGCTTCGGGGCTGTTGGCGGCCTCTCCCCTCAGGCTGCCGACCCCTCTCTCTCTCGCCGCCACAGCCAACCTGTCAGCACCTTCTGGCAGCTCACCCTTCACAGCGCACCCGGCTCTGACGACTTCTCAGCACCTCCGCTGCCCTTCTGCGGTCTGGGCTACCACCTTCGCCTCCCCTCCAGCCCTTCCTGCTGCATCAGATGATGTCGGCTCCAAGGGGAAAAGGTCAGTTTTCATTCCAATCCCAAAGAAAGGCAATGCCAAAGAGTGCTCAAACTACCGCACAATTGCACCCATCTCTCACACTAGTAGAGTGATGCTCAATGTTCTCCAAGCCAGACTTCAGCAATACGTGAAGCGTGAACTTCCAGATGTTCAAGCTGGTTTTATTTATTTTTTTTAGTTAGGAAAAGTTTTTTCCATTTAATACTAGACTTTCAAGGATTGAGATGCAAGCTTTTTATGCAATCAAGCTGGTTTTAGAAAAGGCAGAGGAACCATTGCCAACATCCGCTGGATCATCGAAAAAGCAAGAGAGTTCCAGAAAAACATCTATTTCTGCTTTATTGACTACCCAAAGCCTTTGACTGTGTGGATCACAATAAACTGTGGAAAATTCTGAAAGAGATGGGAATACCAGACCACCTGGCCTTTCTCCTGAGAAACCTGTATGCGGGTCAGGAAGCAGCAGTTAGAACTGGACATGGAACAACAGACTGGTTCCAGATAGGAAAAGGAGTACATCAAGGCTGTATATTGTCACCCTGCTTATTTAACTTAAATGCAGAGCACATTATGAGAAACGCTGGGCTGGAGCGTTTCTGGAATCAAGATTGGAATCAAGCTGGAATCAAGACTGCTGGGAGAAAAATCAATAACCTCAGATATGCAGATGACACCACCCTTATGGCAGAAAGTGAAGAACTACTAAAGAGCCTCTCGATGAAAGTGAAAGAGGAGAGTGAAAAAGTTGGCTTAAAGCTCAACATTCAGAAAACTAAGATCATGGCATCCGGTCCCATCACTTCATGGCAAATAGATGGGGAAACAGTGGAAACAGTGTCAGACTTTATTTTTGGGGGGGCTTCAAAATCACTGCAGATGGTGACTGCAGTGATGAAATTAAAAGATGCTTGCTCCTTGGAAGAAAAGTTATGACCAACCTAGACAGCATATTAAAAAAGCAGAGACATTACTTTGCTAACAAAGGTCCATCTAGTCGACTATGGTTTTTCCAGTAGTCATGTATGGATGTGAGAATTGGACTATAAAGAAAGTTGAGCGCTGAAGAATTGATGCTTTTGAACTATGGTGTTGGAGAAGACTCTTGAGAGTCCCTTGGACTGCAAGGAGATCCAACCAGTCCATCCTAAAGAAGATCAGTCCTGGGTGTTCATTGGAAGGTCTGATGCTGAAGCTGAAACTCCAATACTTTGGCCACCTGATGCGAAGAACTGACTCCTTGGAAAAGACCCTGATGCTGGGAAAGATTGAGGGCAGGAGGAGAAGGGGACGACAGAGGATGAGATGGTTGGATGGCATCACCGACTCAATGGACATGAGTTTGGGTAAACTCTGGGAGTTGGTGATGGACAGGGAGGCCTGGCATGCTGCAACTCATGGGGTTGCAAAGAGTCGGACATGACTGAGTGACTGAACTGAACTGAACTGAACTGGCTCTAAGGGGACAATCACCAGTGGCTTCTCACGGCTTGTAGAATAAAACTCCACGTTCAGACCATGGCCTTTAAAGCCCTGCACGGCTGGTCCCCATGGGTCTCTGAGCTGCCCCCAACTACTTTTCCTTTGGTCATTTTCTCCAGCCACACTGGCCTCCTTTCTCTTCTCCAAGTGTGTGGGGCTCACTCTGCCTGGAGAGAACCCCGGAGAGAACCCCTTGCCCAGCTCCCTCACTGCCTGCAGGTCTCTGTGCAAATGTCACTTTTCCAGAGAGACCGTCCCTGACTTCTTACCTCTCATTTTCCCTGCCAGTTTCCACCAATCTTGACTTTGCCATCCAGGATGGCATCATCTGTCTGTATTTATTAACTGGGCACCTTTTCAAGGCTTCTGGCTCCTTGGCTTTCTGGGGCCTGCCAGGGGCACCAGAACCCCTGGGAGATAGCAGCAGGCTAGAGGTGGCTTCTGTAGGCTGGCACAGTGCCCTTCCTTCCGGCGTGTCAACACAGAAATCAGGGTGGCTACTTAAATCGATCAGGAACTGTGCAAATACTGCTATCAGGGGATTGTTGGCTGTTATCAGTCCAGAGGCAAAGGTGTTTGGTGGAAGAGCTTAGCTGATAAGCAGAAATCTCTTGACCCCAAGGCTGGAAGATCTGGCCCCGTGGGGGGATGGGGGGTGGGGGGAGGTGGTGACCTACTCGGGGTGCCCAACCTCTTGGCTCACTCAACCCACACGGGGGCTCTAGTGCTATGGGTCCTTTGCCCAGATTGGGCCAGCTGCTGAGAACATGCTCTCCCTCCTAGTGTAGACCATACAGTCCCTGGTCAGGGAGCCTGCGGTTTAGGAGCTGGGCAGGTCTGGCTACACCATCCCAGACCCCACTGCTGCCCGACAGGCAAACCACTCGGGCCCCAGAGCACGTGATCGAAGCTCTCTCGCCTGTTGCCACCTACAGTTCAGAGCCCAGGGTGGGGCTTGGCACGTGGTGGTGTTTGTTGTCGTGTAGTTGTTCAGTCGTGTCCGACTCTAGCAACCTCATGGACGGCAGCCCGCCAAGCTCCTCTGTCCATGGAATTTCCCAGGCAAGAACACAGGAGTGGGTTGCCATTTCCTCCTGCAGGGGATCTTCCAGACCCAGGAATCGTACCCCCGCCCCTTAGGTCTCCTGTATTGGCAGGCAGGTTCTTTACCACTAGTGCTACCTGGGAAGCCCTTGGTATGCAGTAGTCTCAAGAAATATCCACAGTTAAACTGACCATTAAGAGGCAAGGTCTGGGCCCCAGGGAGGGAAATGTTGGGCGGTTCCCCCTCCCTACCTCGACCCAGTCGCTGCCCTCTCAGCAGGGATGCATCTGGCCCTCACAGTGGCCCCAGCCAGCAGGTACTACGAGCAGCCTCACTTTCCAGATGTGGTATAGAGGCTCAGAGATGTAACAACACTTGCCCAAGGCCACGGAGCCTGGGAGTGGCAGAGCTGATGTGAGTCCAGGATGTAGCGGTCTGCTTATGATCACCCCTAGATGGGGTGTCGGGGCTCACACTATCAACACCCCTCCCTTGAACGTGCTGCCCTGAGGCAGAGAGGCCGGGGGTGCAGGTCCTTCTCGCCCCGGGACAGGGGGTGTTCCTGGCTCCGGTGGGCAGGGCCCGGCTCCTCAGCACTAATGGGTTACCCTCCTTCCCTCCAGCTGGTCCGGCCCCCCAGCACATGCCCACTCCTACCGCAGACCCTGATGGCTCAATTAGCAGGCCCGCGTGCTACTGGCCTGGGTGGCCAGAAGGCTTTTAGTGAGACCGTGGAAGCTGAACACTTGGGGCCAGCCGGCTGGACCAAGGGCACAGCGGCCACCAAGCCTGGGCGGGGGGACAGACAAGCACTTGAGTCAGAGGGGAAAGCAGGGGGCAGAGCGCGGACAGGAAGGAATGATGTCACCCCAGGGCCCGAGTCAGAAACTGTCGTGCTCTCCGTTTTAAGGGGTGACTCCAGCCGGTCCCCGCTCCAAGTCTCGGTCTCCTGCTCTGGATAACGATGCCAACGATGGCAGTGCCCATCGCCCAGGCCGTGGACGCATGAGGACTGACCGATGGAAACCACTCGGCAGGCACCGATGCGTGCAGCGCATCCATTCATTCACTCACTGATTCGGTGAGTATTTATAGAGCACCTACTGTGTGAGGCATCACGTCTGGGGACGCAGCAGCAGAGACGCACAAGTCCTGACTCTCAGGGAGAGGATGTGTGAGTGGGGGAGGCAGGGGACAAAGAAACAGAACATAGGACAGAGTGGGGTGCAGGGTGCATGGCAGGGCTGCCGTTGCTGAGGGAGGTGCTCCCTGCGGGGGACGAGGCAGTGAGCCACGCAGGGCTCCGTGGGCAGAGTTCAGGCTCAGGAAGGGCCTGTGCAAAGGCCCCGAGCCAGCGGCATGTCTGACGGTGCCCGGGGAGGCAGTGAGGAGGCTGGTGTGGCGGAAGCGGGGTGAGCCGACGAGAGGAGGGAAGTGATGGGAGGAGGGGTGGGGGCCAGGCGGTGCCGAGGAGCTGGTGTTTTCTTCTAAGTAGACCAGGGACAACAGGTCAGTGGTGTGAGCTCACGGGGGATCCGACAGGATCCTCCCGGCTGCCTGTGGACAGCAGACAGTGGAGGGCTGAGGTGGAGGCGGGGAGGCCACGGAGGAGGCTTCTGCCACAGTCCAGGCCGGAGGACAGTGCTGGACCAGGGAGGGGATGGTGGATGCTGGATACAACTCGAAAGCAGAGCCAGGAGACTTGCTGATGGTGTGGATGTGGAGTGACAGAGGGGAGGAACTGAGGATGACGCCCAGGTCTCTGGGTCAAGCAAGGACTGCCACAGCTGCCACCTGTGTGTGATGGGAGACAGGGTCCCCACAGCCTGAACCCCATTCCTGTGCACGCACGTACACACACACGGGTGTGTGAGTCGCCATCAGAATGGCGCAGACACTAGGTAGGTCTCTGGCCCCTGGGGAAACCGAGGCAGGCAGTGGGGCTGCGGGGACTCACCCATGCCCAGCATAACGAGGGGCGTTTGCTCCCAGCGGGTCAACAGCAGGAGGTGGACCACGTTGTAGGCGATGAGGCTGAAGCACAGGACCACACAGCACCACTCCTGGAAGCGCTTGCCTGTGGGGAGAAGGGGCGAGAGTGAGTGCAGGGCGGCGGGCCAAGGCCGCGGGATCAAGGATCAGACCCAGGCGGGGCCGGTCCCGGGGTGGGGGGGCGGGGGGCGGCGGTGCTCTCTGACTGTGTTCCATGAGTCTGCAGTGCAGACCGCAAGCTGAATGTGCAGGGACAGCCTGCACATTTCACAGGGTGTCACTGAGGCCCAGAGAATGGGACAGGTCTGTCCAACGTCATATACTCCGGGCCAGCTGTGTTAAACCAAGCCCTTCTGCGCATAGGCCTGCTGCCCACGAGGCTGGCCTTACATGTGCTGAGTCTTTGGCAGACAGAACCGGAACACTGGTCTTGTGGGCCCCTTCGGGCTCTCTCTGGAGACCCCTGAAGGAATTTTAATGAGCTTCTTTTTTTAAAATTCCCATTATTCCATCACCTGCCCCCTTCCGGTAGGCAATTATTTGGAAGCGCTACAAACAGCTTTTAATTATGCACATTCAGACCCTGCCCCACGTCCATCAAGTGAGGCTTCAGGCAATGAGTCAGGAGTTCAGGAGAAACTGACCATGGTTATCACTTCCATGGCTCCAGCCACAGGGCTGATGAGGGGGTCTCAAGCTCTTAACATCTCCAGGGGCTGGACAGGTGGTTTGAAGCAGTGAGTTGGGCTGGGTGGGGGGAGTGGGACACCGTGGCACATGTACCCTTCCTAAAGCACTAGGCACTAACTGGCTGACTACTGCCAGGACAGGGAGTGTGGGCCCAGGGAGGTCAGACCCTCTAATTCTCAAGAGGAGGCAGAAATCAGGATGCAGGTGTGAAACCATCTCTATAATTCTGGCACATATTTTTAATATCCTGTGGGCTGGGACAGGCTGATTTCACTCAACTGCAGCTTTGTTGAATGTATCGAAACATTGAGAATAACCTCAGTGTCCACTGCCTGGGGAATCAGACAAGTTAATTTGGTTTACAGTGTCTCTGTTGCCAGGCAAAAAGCCTGGGTGACTGTTCCGATGTGGCTGACGGAGGGACTGGATATTCAGGACAAACTGTTAAGTGCAAACAGCAAAGTGCCAAACATCCATTTACGTAAAAAAAGAGAAAAAACAAACAACTGTAGAGTTAAGACTGTCTTTTCGCCTCCTTTTGAATTTAAAATTTATGAATGCGATATTTCAGCAAAAATCTCATAATTATACATTAAAATTTAAAAACGCCAAAGGAAATAAAAACACCGTATGGGTGACGCAGCATGTGACATGGCCCCCAGGAACAGTTTTCTCAGGCAGCTGGTCTCAAGGACAAATCTCTTGCAGATCTCTCTGTGGAACCTCCACCTCCAGGAAGCCACCCACGATTCCTCCTTTAATGCCTGGGATCCCTGACCACGGGGCCCATCATGAGAAACTGCCTGCATAACGTCCCCCCTCCCCTCCCTCAGTGTCAGCTCAGGAGGCCTAGGACCGAGCCTGCCTTGCACAGCAGGGCCCCAGCACGCATTGGTGCTTAATAAATGCTTGTGGAATAACAAATTCCTAACTACGATCCTAGAGGAGAACTGCCAGGCTTTGCTTCTGGGCACCCTTCACTGAAGCGCTGCATGACAGGGAACGGGCTCAGAGAGAGAACGGGCCTCGTCCATGCTGCAGAGAGTGGACTGCGCTCCAAGCCAGAGCCAGAACTTCCCCCCTGTGAGAAGACCATGGCTCAGAGTGGGCAGAGGACACGCCCAGGGCCGCATCCCTTGTACAGACGGGGGCCTTGGGGCCCAGACAGGGCCAGGGTCCTCAAGGCCTCACGCGGCGGCAGCTACAGAGGCCCCTCGCCGCCCACTCCGCAGTCAGGGGCTGCTCCTTTGGCACCACGGGGCCCCGCCACCCCAGTGGGCTGCTCCCTTGGCACCACGGGGCCCCACCACCCCAGTGGGCTGCTCCCTTGGCACCACGGGGCCCCGCCACCCCAGTGGCCCCACCGGGGTCACCATGACCTGACCAGGAGGTCAGGTCAGGAAAACCTGAAGGGTTTTCCCTTTTGTGGCTCTGGTCTGCTGCCAGGATGGGGGGCTGAGAAGCAGGAAGCTGGGAGGGCCAGTGGTCAGGGACGGGAGACTCCTCAGTATCATCTGCCGCCCCCCAGCCTGCAGCACAAGCAGTGAGATTAAGTGACAGGAACAACAACCAGGCCAATCGCCAGCTGGGTACGGGGTGCGGCCCACGCCAGAGACTCTGCAGACCCACTCCCTCTTATCTCATTTACCTATCTATGGCCGCACTTCAGTCTTTCCCAGCACCAGGGTCTTTTCTAAGCATGAGATGGTTGGATGGCTTCGCATCACTGACTCAATGGACCTAAGTCTGAGCAAGCTCTTGGGAGGTGGTGAAGGACAGGGAAGCCTGGGGTGCTGCAGTCCATGGGGTCGCAGAGTTGGACAGGACTGAGCGACAGAACAAACGGCTGCACTGGGTCTTCTTGGCGACACACAGGCTTTCTCTGGTGGTGGGGTGCAGGCTCAGCTGCCCTGTGGCGCATGGGATCTTCCCGGAGCAGGGATCGAACCCACGTCCCCTGCACTGGCAGGCAGATTCTTACCCACTGTAATACCAGGGAAGTCCCTCCCGCTGCCATATCTTGCTCTTAGTTTTTTTTTTTTTTCAAAAAGGAGCTACACTTAAAAAAAAAAACACCTTAAATTCCTATTTTCTTGCTTCCTTTAAGAACACAGGCTCTGGCCACCCCAGGTCAGAGCCCCCCTCAGACGGGGCAGAGCTCCCGGCTCACCCCAGCCCACTCTCTTCCCTGTGGCCTCAGCCTGGGGAGCTTCCCCTGGTGGCAGTGCTGGCTGGGTCCCTGCAGTCATCTGGGTTTGCGAACCTGAGGCATAGTCTTTCATTCAAGTCTGCGTGCCTCGAGGGAGGAACTGTGTGATCCCACTTCTTGGATGAGGAAACTGAGGCTGAGCAGGCAAAAACCAAGAGCTGGGTTTGGATCCTGTGCCTATGAGTGGGACACCTGAGCCTGGATGTTTGGGGCTAGCCCAACTCTCTCCCTTTGCCATGGACAACGTCCTGAAATCTGAGTATTTTCCCATCTAAACTGTCTCTCTAGGCTCTGGGATCTGGAGTCTTCTGCAGAACAGTGCCTCAACTATGATCCAGAAAAAAACACATCTATCGTAACAAGTGGCATTCACAGAGCACGTCTTACATGCCAGGTACACTGCCAGGGAGGATCCCAGCCAGCGCGGCCTGCCGTACCCCGAACGCTGGGGGCTCGCTGCCCCGACCTTCAGAGGGGGAAGCTAGGCCTGGAGAGGTGAGGTGTCCGAAGTCCCTCGAGAGTCACCGAAGTCAACACGGACAGTTAGCCGGGCCGGGACCGCACGGTCAAGGGGTCTAAATGGTGTCACGTCACAGATGGGCGGGCTGAGGCCGGGGAAGGGAAGGCCTCTCCTCCGGAGAGAGGGCTCGGGCCGCCTCTGGCAGTGCCGGGCCTTGATTCCCTAAGCCAGCCCCTGGCTTGACCACGATTGGGGCCAAGGGACACAGGTGATGCTTGCGGCCTGGGGAGGGGCCGAGCTGGCGTGAGGTGGCTGTGCCGGGCTGGCAGGGGTGGGGCGGGGGGCACCTCTGCCTTCCTGGGGACAGGTCACAGCCGGAGGCCTGGCACCGGGCCTGGCTCTTCTGGTTTCAGTCAGACAAGCTCTGGAATCTGCCCTTAAGGTGGGTCCCGGGCCACTAGGAGACCCTTGGCCTCAGGGAGGTGGGGGGACAGAGAGACGCAGAGGAAGACAGACAGACAGACGGGGGAGAACGGCATCAGAGACACAGAGGTGAGAGGCAAGGAGAAGAGGGGGGGAAGAGACGGGGGTCTCTCTACACACACGGAGACGGAGAGAATGAGTGTGGCCAGAGAGAGGGAGAGATAGACACAGCAACGAGGGAGACAACCCGGGCCAGGAGTGTGACGGACCAGCCTGGCCGGGAGGGGCCTTGGGAGGCCCTCTGGGGACAGAGCCCACCTCAGCTCCAGGACGGCAGGCCAGGACCCCCACCCGGCACCCCCCACCCACGCTGAGTGCCTGTGTCCCACAGGCTGGGGGGGCTCCAGGGACCCGCCAAGATCCACCCCTGGAGCTGGCGTATCCACACAGCCAGAGGTCAGCTGGTACCTGCCAGGAAGCGGGACACCCGCCTCGCCTCTGGGCATGCCCGTGAGGCTGGGGGAGGCCTGCCCAGCCCGCCCACCCTTCACAGAGGCTCACCTGGCAGAGGGTTGGCAGAACCCACACTTGGGCCCTCTACGGCTCCCAGGCCCCAGGCGTGTCCTCGGGGCAGACTCCCAGGGTCCAGGGGATCAGGCTGAGGCTCTTCACCCCAAGCTGCCCCGATCAGACCCCTCACAGCTCTCAGCCGACACTAGGCCCACCGTGTCTGGCACCAGCCCAGCGGGCATGCTGCCCTGCCACCCTGGAACACGGACCCCCTCCAGCACCCCCACCCTGGGCGGGCTCACCGCCACAGCGAAGATTCGGAACACGGAACCCAGAGCGCCCGCGAACAGTGTTCAGGTTCTGGCCCTGCTAACTATGTGTGATCGTGACCATCACTCTTTGCTAAGCCTCAGGAAAGGTCTTAAAGATGGACAGGGTGCAGCCACTCCAGGCCAGCCAAACATGTGGTGTCCCTGGCAAGGCTGACCTTCCCCTCTGGTGGGCAGAAGCAAGCCGAGTCCCAGGCAGGACAAGTGCTGGGAAGAACACGTGTCGGGGGATGGGCTATGAGGAGGCTACAGGGGTCTCGGTTTCCTCCCCTGTAAAATGGAGTTAATACCAGGATGCCCCTGAGACAACTGTAGGGAGGCTGAAATGAGAGCGTAGGAAGGAAACGCCCAGTACACAGTCAGGGACCAATAAATGTCAACTATGTTAACTGCCTGATTATTGCTGCCAGCTGTCAGGGTACCAACCTACCTCTGGCCCCGTGAATCTCAGGAATTCAGTCCCGGAACCCAGAACCCTTCGTGACTGTGCCCTGGCTCCTTCTGCTCCAGCCCACGGGCCGCCTCGGGTTCCCGCGAACACTTCAGGCTTGCTTCTAACCTCAGGACCTCTGCACTTGTTATGTCTGTGTCCCTGGCCTGGACCAATCCTCCCTCAAATATCTTCTGGCGCCCCTCCCTTCTGGTCTTGGTTCAAATGTCACCTGCTCAGGGAGGCCTTAACTGCCCCCCCTAAAATGTGACTGTCCCCAACTTCTCCCTTTTCGGCTATTTGTTCCGCAGCACTTGCCACCACTGGGCAAGTAAGCTATTTCTCTTATTTACTGGGTTTACAAAAGCTCAACTCTGTTTTCCCTGTTTTGTTCCCCCATGGCCTAGAACAAGGACTGGGACAAGGGTCCCAGTGCTCAATATGTATTCAGCCTGGTCCCTTACTTTATAGGCCAGGCCCAGAGAGATGGAGGTGCTTCCCCAAGGTCAAGGGACAGAGGCAGGCAGACGGAGGCCTATGGAATTTAGGGAAGCCAGTCTCTTTCTGCTTCACTCCCCTCCTCCAGGCACTCCCCTTGCCCCACCCAAACTCCAAGTCGGGAGGAGACAAGGCCTCTGATTGCAGGTTTGGGGCACCAGGAGACTGTCTGCACCCTTAAATCCCTGAGGGGCTGTCCTTCAGACAGTGAGGGGCACTTGGGGAAACCAGAGTGGACAAAGATGCAGTCATGGTGGAATGAGAAGGGGGGGTCCACAGGGGCGGTTCAGAACACCCTTATGATTTCCAGGTCTGTAGGGTTTACTCGAGTGGGTGGAGCTGGACACCAAAGGAGGAGGCCTCTGAATCTTACCCTGGATTTCCAGATGGTGAGCCTGAGGACCACAGGGATGAGGCAGCGTACCCTAAGACTCACAGGAAAGGTTGGGCTATTGCATTAATAATAGAGACTGCCCGTTGTATGCCAGGCACAGCACAAGATGGATGATCTCATTTCCCCTCCCCAGTGACACTAAGGAACAGATAAGCTCTATCATGTACCCATCTTAGAGGTGATGAAACTGAGGCTCAGAGAGGGCTAGCCCCTTGGCCCAGGTCACACAGTTAAGAAGCGGAGTCAGGATGCTAAGTCCAGGCTGCCCCAGGGAGCACAGGAGGTTTTAGGTCCACAAGCTGGGTGCTGCAGGAACAGGTTGAAGACACTATGGCATTATGGGCCAGGTGCCCAAGTTAGGTATGAAAAAAAAAAACAAACCAGACTCAGAACATGAAACTGCAAATCCAGAAAGGCCTCTGGTGACCTAGGACTCAACAAGAAAGCAAAGGGCCCAAGGTCACACACACACAGCTATGGCAGAGATGGTATGCAAACCCTGGCCAGGCAGGGCGGAAAGCCAAAGGTGGTGGTGGACTCGTTCTCACCCCAGGCAAGGGCTATCTATGCGTGGTGTCCCCGTCCCCCTGCCGCGGGCAAAAGGAAGGATGTCAGAATGTTTGACAAATAAATAAAGCTGGATGAGCTAGCGACACCCAAACACAGGGGCCTCCCAGTCACCTGACTCTGGAGTTCTCAAAGGCAATTCCTTACCCCCTGGGTTCACTTGGCTCTGGTGGGGCCTGGCAATGAGATTTGTGAGGCTCAAGTGGAAGTCAGAGAAGGGGGTGAGGTTGGTGCTTGCTGGAGCAGAAACGGTAGGCCCAGCAGGAAGACACTGGGACCTTGTCCTGGGGGCAGAAGCAGAGCAGGGTCTCTAAGTTTGTGGTCTGGTCTGTGGACACCCCCAAGTCCCTATGGAGGAGGTTCATATAAACATCTACATGGGGGAGAGGAAATAGCTGGGTCTGGGGCTTAAATTTTGAGAGAAAGCTTACTGGAAGGTGTGCAGGGAGGGCCCTTACCACCCAGAATTTCAAAATACAGTGTGACAGTTAATTCGGGGGGTGCAGGTGGAGGGATGAGGGTCTATAAACTGAAGCTATAAATCTAGGATGGGGCTTTGGAGGAAGGGCGTCTGGGGCACTCGGTACCTGGGGCCCCTGAGTTGAGGTTCCCAGAGCAGACCTGATATGCTCAGATTTGTGGGGTGAAGTCACTACAGCCCAGGGCCCTGGCAGGGGGGCAGATAGGGCCCTAGGGTGTGAAATCTGTATCTGGGGAACCTGGGATAGGGTGTGACGCTAACGGGGGCGGGGGGAGGGGTGGCAGTGCATGTCGCTGAGGGGGTTGCCTTCGGCTCGGTGGTCTTGGCGTGGTGGGTCCCCAAGACTAAGGGCTCTTTACAGCCGCGGGGACCCCGGGCTAGGATTGGGATCCGACAGCGTGATGGGAGCTGTCCGTAGCCGGAGGAGTTGATATGGCAGCTCCTTGATCCGAGGGTCTGTCTTTGCATCCAGAAAGCCCCGTGGCTGGGGTTCTGGTTTGCGCTTGGAAGGGGCGCTGGGGTGGGGTCCCCAGACTTAGGGGCGCTACTTGCAAGTTAGGAGCGGCGGCTGGAGCTCTGCATCGGGGCCTGAGGCTGGGGTTCCGATCCGGGGCACCCGGGATCGCGGCCCCGCAGTTCAGGCTGGCTGGTGACTGTGGGCCGGGAGGGGGCCCGGAGGTCCTACCTGGGGAGTAGAGCGCGGCCAGCTCGCGGGCCCCGGCGTGCTGCGCGCCCCAGCGCCGGCAGAACGCCGCCTCATCGTCTTCGAGTTCCGGCTGCTGGCCCGGCCCGTCTTCGGCGCCCGCCATGGCCCGTCGCCCGGCCAGCCGGTGCGCTCCGCAATCGCGGCGCGCGGGGGGCGGGCCCGCAGCGTGCGGAAGAGCCGGGGGGCGGCGCGTCTCGGCCCCATGAGCTCCTCTGCGTGTCGCCGTCGCCCTGTGGGTCCGATCGCTCTGTCGCCACCGGTCGGGCTGAGTTTACCCCCCGGTGCTGAGGGCCGAGGTCTGAGCGGGCGTCTCTTAGGCACGCGCAGGCTGGCGTCTGTGACGGGCAGGGTACGCGCGGGGAGGGCCCTTGGCCGGGGAGGAGAGGCCCCGTTTGAGGGTCCCTGGCCGGGGCCGGTTTCAGGGTCTCCGAGGACCCCGAGCGTCCCCCGCACCGTGGGCCCACCTCGCGCGGTGCCCCCGGGGACCAGCCTGACTGGGGGGGTGGGGGCAGTGTCCCCTGGAGGGAGGAGACAGGAAAGTGGTGAGTCTCTGTCAGATTTGGTGAGCGCTGACTATCTGTTGGGCGCCGGGCCAAGAGCTCGACCTCAGGGTGTTTTTTACTCACGGTCAGAAGCTGGGTGGCCTCCTCAGAGGCCCCTGTCACCGCAGCGCCCAGAGGTACCCCCTCTCCGGTCACTGTGACATCACCCCGCCTTCCCAGTGCTCGTCGGAACGGACGGTGCCAGGCTCCCCACGCCCCAGAAAGCAAGCTCCCCGAGGGCTAAGACTTGCTGGGTTCACAGCCGCTCTCCCACGTCCCGATCAGCCTAAGTGAAGTGAAGTGTAAGTCTCTCAGTCGTGTCCTATTCTTTGCGGCCCCATGGACTATACAGTCCATGGAATTCTCCAGGCCAGGATACTGGAGTGGGTAGCTTTCCCCTTCTCCAAGGGGATCTTATCAAAGGGCTCGAGTAAATGCTTATGGAGTGAATTAAGTCTCAAATGAATTTATTACCTCAGCAGGAACTCGACCGGTCTAGCTCGCTACAAAGTACACGGTAATTGCTGACATAAGTTTCACAGCGTGTCACCCACCAGATGGGAGCTAAGAATGTTCAAGAGGTGGTGGAGGGACTGGAGAGGTACCCAGGGAAAACAGGGAGGGGAGGTAAGACCCATTCTGTAGGCCTCTTTTGGAGGCTCCATCCTTGTTCTCTGAAGGTTTAAGCCCTGGATTGTCCCTGTGCTAGGAACAGTCAGTCACCCCAGGAGTGCTTCCTGGGTGTTCGCACCCTGGGCGGCCACTAACCCCCACCAGACCCATGCTCTTTTTCTGTTTCTTCGTCTGTACCACCTCCCAGGAAAGAAAAGCACGCTTCCTTGGCAGGGAGAGATTGCAGTCTGCAATTCACATCCTGCTGAATTCTGGCAAAACTGGCTGGCTTTGCCTTCTTGTAGTTTACACAGTTCAAATTTTCAATCCAGGAGATTAAGGTGCCTAGTGTTGGGATGGGCTGGATCTCAGATTTCAGGGACACGCCCTTCCAAGCTCTGCCTGCGTCCCAGACCTCCAAGCAGGATGAGGTGGCTGGTCCTGCTGGTGTCGGGAGCGCCGCTAGTGGCCAGCACAAGATGGGTGATGGACAGACAGGTTATTCATTTGCTCAGGGAACACATTTGTTAAGCACCAACCTGACCCAGGTTGCTGCAGGGAAAGAGCAGGGGACATGACTGTCATATTTTCTCTCACTCTCTGGTTGTCTTTTCACTTTCTTGATGGTGTCCTTTCATGCACAAAATGTTTTTACTCTTGATGAAGTCTTATCTACTTTTTTCTTTGTGCTTTAGGGGTCATTATTTCCTCATTTTTTAAATAACGTCATCGTTTTCCACTGTGTGGCTAGATCATAATTCATTTAACTAGTGGTTTATTGATGGACGCTTGGGTCATTTCCTGTCTTTGAATGTTATAGACATTTTGCTCAATGTCATTTTGGCACGTGAAGGTAGGTCTGTTGAACTCACTCCTGAAGTGGGATTGCTTTGACAAATGTTAACTGCTTAGCCATTTTGGTAGATAGAGATAAACCTCTTGGTAGGTAGGTAAGCAGATATTGCCATTGGAATCATATAACTAATTTATATTCCCACTAGCTGTGTTCAAGCATGCCTGTTTTCCCCAGTCTTGCCAAGAGAGGGTGGCTAATTAAGTTAAGATTAAAATTTTAGTCCTTCAGTTACACTCAGCACATTTCAAGTGCTCAGTAGTTACACGTGGCTGGAGGCTAATGAATAAATGCAGATATAGAACATTTCCACCATTGCAGAAAGTTCTATTGGGCAAATTTTAGTAAAGAATTGTACAGTGACCTTGACCTTACATTTTAGTAGGATCCTTGGGCTGCTAATGGGAGGTGGACTCAGAGACTGAGGAAAATCAGGAGACCAGAGGGGAGGTGACTGCAATAGTCCAGGTAGGAGGGGTCGGATGGTCAGACTAGAGTGACTGTGGAGGTGGGAGAAGTGGTGGGTTCTGGTTGCATTTTGAAGGTGGAGTGGCCAGGACTTGCTGGTTGATGTCACGGGGGCTGAGGGAGAGGTCAAGGATGACTCTCAGGTTCCTAGCCTGAAGCACGGGAAGGATGGAGGTGCCATTGCCTGAGCTGGGAAGAACAAGGCGGGAGCAGGTTTGGGGAGGGGAGACCGGGAGTTATGTTCTGGGCGATCTGCATGCGAGATGCAGGTTGAACATCCCAAGTCGCGATGTCCAGGGGCATCAGGCAGTTATTTCTGACCTAGAGAATGACACATGATTTTGGTCATCAAGTTAGAGCAAAGCCAGAAACGAAGGAAGACCCAGATTACACACCTAAGGTGGGGACGAAGAAGAAGCTTGGTCTTTGAAGCTCGGAGTCTCACAGCTGTGTTTCTGAGTCTCTGTGGGTCCATTTTCCTTCCTCGAAGTGGAAAGAATAGCGCTTCATAGGTTTGTTGTAAGGTTCACAGCGAGCACCGTGAGAGGTGGGGTTCTTGGCAGAGATGTTGTTACATTTGATTATGAGGGTGCTGGGGTGAGATCGATACCCTCTCCTGGCAGCCAAGGCCATGCTGACTCTCCAGCCTCCTTTCTTGTCACCTCCTATGGTCATCCCCCTGCTGGGCGTTTTACAGACACCTGTAAAAGCAAATAGAACCCTTTCTGGGAGATTCCTGGGGCCGTAACCTCTGTGGGGCCCAGTTCCTAGGCACAATCATGCCTCCCTTCCCTGGGAGCAGGTGGGAATAGCAGATGAAAACTATGTTTTAAAAACTAAAGCATCGATGATTTAAAAAAAAAAACCCTTTTAAAATAATAATTTCTAAAAAATAAAATTTACAGAAAAGTTGCAAAAACAGTACGATAAATTTCTATATATCACCTTCATTCATATCCCCCAATTGTCAACATTTTACTGCGTTTATCATTTTTTCTCTCTGTGTGTAATTTTTCTGAACCATTTGAGAGTCAGTTACATAAAAAAGATACAATGTCCTTTTACTGCTAATTACTTTAGTGTGCATCTCCTAAGAACAAGGACATTCTCTTACAGGACTGCTGTATAGTTTTCAAAATCAGGACATTTAATGTTGATACAGTGTTATAGCATCATTCTTATTGTTCTCATTCAAATTCCAATGATTATCCCAGTAAGACCTGAAATCTTACTCTTTTTTCTGAAGTTTCCTTTTAATGGGAGGATGATTGCTTACAATGCTGTGTCGGTCTCTGCTCTTCCGCAGCGTGAGCCAGTCGTGAGTACACGTGTGTCGCCTCCCTTTTGAAACTCCCTCCCTCCCCCGCCATTCCACCCCTCGAGGTTGTCACAGAGCCCTGACTTGAGCTCCCCGTGATACACAGCAACTTCTTTCTAGCTAGCTTTCTGAACTCCTTATTCTTACACTAGTGATTACCAAGGTCATGGACCTCTTCCAAAGAGATAAATCGTGCACCTGTCCAAAGAGAAGAAAACCAATGACAGCCATGAATCTGCTGAAGGAACCTGTGCTCATATACCCTGTTTGCAGGCTCTGTACATTGAGAGCAGTGTTTCTCAACTGGGATGATTTTGCCCCCCGCAGGGGACATTTGGCAATGCCTTGAAGCATTTTCAGCTGTCACACCTGTGATACGCCGCTGGCATTGCATGGGAACAGGCCGGGAATGCCGCCAAACCCTACCAGGCACAGAACAGAGAATCTCTGGCCCAAAATGTCAGTAGGGCTGAGGTTGAGAAACTGTGACCTATGGGTAAACTGGGGAGAGACGCCGCCCTCAGTTGTAATTGGAGCACCCCCCAGATCTACATTTCACCCCAACAATTCTCTCTCCCCAGCTACCCTGGAAAACCCTGCTCCTATAGGTGTAGGGAGGGTCAGCCAAGTCTGTTCCCGATGGCTTCAAATTGGAACCAGCCCCCATGGCCCATCAGGAGGAGACTGATAAACAGTGTAGTCACATGGTGCTTGCAGCGTTTCCTTTGGCTCTGTTCGCGTGTGTGCTAAGTCACTGCCGTCGTGTCTGACTCTGTGCGACCCTGTGGACTGTAGCCTGCCAGGCTCCTCTGTCCATGGGATTCTGCAGGCAAGAACACTGGAGTGGGCAGCCTGTCCCTTCTCCAGGGGATCTTCCCGACCCAGGGATCTAACTGTGTCTCTTACGTCTCCTGCATTGTCAGAATTTCTTTACCACTAGCACCACGTGAAAAGCCCTTGGTTTTGTTTGCTGCTTGTAAAATGGGGTTGGGAGATGGGCTTGGAAAATGAAAGTCACTCAGTTGTGTTCAACTCTTTGTGATCTCACGGACTGT